GTCATGGATTCGATTCCCACTTGAATTTTGCAAGATTTTTTCTCACAAGTATTTGGGGATGCACTGAGTGTACAAGGAGTTCACAACTATTGTATATTATAACAGGGGTCAAGTTTGTAGAACAAATCAATGTAAAGGGTACATTGATCATGCAAGTGTGTAAAGTGACCAAGTTAGGAGAAAATAATGTTGGAATATATTTATTTGCATAAAAGAGCATGAAACATGATGCATCAGGATCGTTTCTCAGGATGTCTGAAAATGGTAACACATTTGAAGAATAGCAGTATTTTTGTATTAGATTTTCACTAACCTTGCACAATAGATATTGAGTAACCCACATTTATGGCCTTGAATCCAGGCTACACTTAATGCACTATAATGTTATCTGGATAGGCAAAATTAATATTTTTTATTTTTTATTTGACGACAAGAGGTCTAGGCCCGTCTGAATGGGGGTGGGGAAATGTCCCCCACTGGTGCCACCACTGGACCACATAAAGTGATGCAAGGGGATGTAATGTTTCTCAGGAAGGGCAAAACAACTGATTTTCACTAACCTTGCCCTTGCGTTGGAATTTGCGGCAGATTTATCTGAGTTGGTATAACTTCTGAGTCGTCACTGTAGCCATGCCTTTCACGTACACGTTGTTCAAGTCTAAGGAGCTTCTGTTGTCTCAAACCGTTCATCATGATTGGTATTTGTTGGCTCTTTAATTGATTATCCCTCCAAGTAACCAGCAATTCCATGATGCGGTCTTCCACCAATTTGTTGTTTTTTGCTATCTTATTAATATCACTCCACTTGAGTCCAAGATGCACTCCCAGTCTCTTCCATGATCCGGACTCCACGTTGTCACAAATGAACAGCAAATCTTGATCATTAAAATATTTTCCTAAATAAAAATGATAGATAATATACAGTGAGTAAAAAACATACTTAATGACAAGCTACAGAAAAAACATGTGAGGCTTCCTATGTATTTTAGCCAGCCCAACACAGACATGCTCCCTCCTTGTCGCATGCGAAAATTTAACCTTAGATCTAATGCCAGGACCCTTGAAGTGCCGAAATGCATTACAGATAACATTCTGCTATTCCTTTTATTGCTCAATCAACCCTCAATAAGGTGCCATTTATTTATTTATTATATTATTAAATATTTTAAATGTCAAGTATAATAAATTCATATTTAAAAAAAAAACATAATGTACAACTTTCATAATTAACTAATAATATTCTATTTTTATATATATTTATATTTTGATATTTCATCGCATTATTGTAAGCCAACTGTAAATCTTTATGTTTTTACCTATTGTATTTTACTCATCTTTTTGTAATGTATTGTTAATATTTTTATATGTAATACAATATTTGTGTATGTTTTTTTATATTTCTCATTCTATGTATTTTTTATTCTGTAATACAACAATTCCAGACTTGTTCTTCCTTTTGTAATGTTTTTTATACCGGAACCAAATAAAATTTCTGAAATTCTTGAGATACCTGCTTGTTGAATGACGAGATTTTCGTTAACTTCACCCTCAAACAATACTTCAGCTAGTTGCCTGAGCTTATGGTGTTGTAGAGCAGTGCACAACACTTTACGTTGATGAATATCACTACTGATGTTGCTCCTCCAGTAATTCATCATACTTTCGGCAGCCTTATGAGTCTGTGTACCATCAGCATTGAACACGTTCACTTTCGACCACTTAAGTCCCAAACGGACACCAAACCTTCTCCAGCCAAGACTCAATTCCTCAGAAACTGTCACAATGGTGGCGTCATCCACAAAACCTAACATGCAAGATAATTATTATAAAGAAAACATAATTATCCCAACTGTATCTGACATGAGTTTTAGACACTTCATTTAAAAGAAAATTAAAACTTTCACCAAAAAAAAAAAAAAAAATTATACCAACGAAATTGATCCCTGGTCTACCCAAATTTCAGTACTGTTTTCACTTTCTGTTTATGCATAACGTTGTTTAAAATACCGAATAAATAATGAAATAAGTAATTGGAAATTCGGAAAAAAATAATAGCATGAGACTTTTAAACAATTATCCAGCAGAGTACAGATGACTTTAACCAGTTAGTTGCAACAAAACTTTTGTTTTCAATAAAACCAGCACCATCTTACATCAAATATAAAGTATGTGATTCATTATTTTAAAAAAATCCATAAACATACCTGTTGGTATATGTACTACTTGCTGAGACTGTGGACGATCTAGAG